ATGCTAAAATAGTGCTGGAACATAGTTAATAAATAAAATTGAACAACCTTTTTTTTAAAAAAACAAACAAACAAACAAAACAAAACATTTTTATTGATTTCAGAAAGGAAGGGAGAGGGAGAGAGTGATAGAAACATCAATGAAGAGAGAGGATCACTGATCAGCTGCCTCCTGCACCCACCCCACTGGGGATCAAGCCTACAATCCGGGCATGTGCCCTGACCAGAATTGAACTGTGACCTCCTGGTTCATAGGTTGACACTCAATCACTGAGTCACTGCAGCCGGGCAAAGTGAACAACCTTAATTAGCTAAGAGAGAGGGTAGGTAATTTTTGGTTTTCCTTTTTCTAAGGTGTCATTTTGCCATACACTAGTGGCATTTCCCCCAGATTTATTGAGATATAATTGACATATTGCTGTAAGTTTAATGTATACAACCTATTAATTCGATACATTTCTATATTGCAAAATTATTACCACCATAGCATTAGCTACCACCTCTATCCTGTCACATAATTACAATTTTTGGGGTGTGTGAGAACATTTAATATCTACTCTCTTAGCAACTTTCAAGTATATAATATAGTAGTATGAGCTATATTCACCATGCTGTACATTATATCCCCAGCACTTGTTAATCCTATAACTATAAGTTTATAGCCTTTAACCGCTATCTCCCCAACATGCCCCCACATCTGATCTCTTTTTCTCTGAGTTTGGCTTTTTTAGATTCAACATATAAGTGTTATCATACAGTATTTATCTTTCTCTGTCTTATTTTACTTAGCATTATGCCCTCAAGTTTCATCCAAGTTGTCACAAACAGCAGGGTTTCCTTTTTCTTATGGCCGAATAACATTCAATTGTATACATACACCGCATCTTATTTATCCATTCATCCATTGATGAACACTTAGGTTGTTTCCATGTCTCGGCTATTGTGAGTAATGCTGGAATGAAACATGGGGATGCAGATAGCTCTTTGAGATCCTCATTTCCTTTCCTTTAGACATATACACAGAAGTGGAATTGCTGGATCTTTTGGTAGCTCTATTAAAATATATATTTTTAATCCTCACCAAAGGGTATTTTTTCATTGATTTCTAAAGAGTGTAGAGGGAAGGGAGCGGGGTGGGGAAAGAGGAGAGATAGATACATAGAGAGGTCAACTCGAGAGAGACACATTGATTGGCTGCCTCTCTCATGCACCCCTACCAGGGGTTGGGAACGTGCAACCAAGGTACCTGTCCTTGATAGGGAATCAGACCTCTGACCCTTAGGTCTATGGGCCAATGCTCTAATCACTGAGTTAAACCAGCCAGGGCTATTTTAAAATTTTTTTGAAGAAGCTATATATTGTTTTCCATAATAGCTATGGCAATTTACATTCCAACCAATGCACAAGAATTCCCTTTCCCCATATCCAAGCCAATACTTGTTATTTCTTGCCTTATTTTTTTAAAATATATTTTTATTTATTTCAGAAAGGAAGAGAGAGGGAGAGAGTGATAGAAACATTGATGATGAGAGAGAATCATTGATTGGTTGCCTTCTGCATACCCCACACTGGGGATCAAGCCTGCAACTTGGGCATATGCCCTGACAGGGAATTGAACGGTGACCTGCTGGTTCAGAGGTTGACACTCAACCACTGAGCCACACAAGCCGGGCTCTTGCCTTCTTGATGATACCCATCATAAAAGGTGTGAGATGATATTTCATTGTGGTTTTTATTTGCATTTTCCTGGTGATTAGTAATGTTGAGCACCTTTATGTGAACCCGTTGGCCTCATGGAATTTAATAAATAAACTATTGAAATAAATCCTCTGGATATATGCACCCCTGTGTTCATAGCAGCACAATTTACCATAGCTAAGATTTGGAAACAGCCTAAGTGCCCATCAGCAGATGAATGGATTAGAAAACTGTGGTACATCTACACAATGGAATACTATGCTGCTGTGAAAAAGAAGGAATTCTTACCATTTGCAATAGCATGGATGGAACTGGAGAGCATTATGCTAAGGGAAATAAGCCAGTCAATGAAAGAAAAATACCACATGATCTCACTCATTTATGGATAATAAAGACCACTATAAACTGATGAATAAAAATAGATACAGAGGCAGGGCAGCATCGAACAGACTGTCAAAATACAGCGGGAAGGCTGGGGAGGGTTGAGCGGGCGGGGGGGGTGGGATAAGAGATCAACCGAAGGACTTGTATGCATGAATATAAGCATAACCAATGGACACAAGACACTGGGGGGTAGGGGAGGTCGGGGGAAGGTCAAGGGGGGCGGGGGGAAAGGAGACATATGTAATACTATTTGTAATACTTTAAGCAATAAAACAAAATTAAAAAAGAAATAAATCCTCTGAGAAATGGGGTCTTTGTTTACCTCTAAGAACTGAAAATGCTTCTTCAATGCAATCTCATCAATTTTTACAACATTCCTGATACCTGGGTGATGTTACTGTTGTTTAGACATGAAGCTATCAGAAATAACCAGTGGTAACATTTTGGCAAACATCATTCCACAAAACTTCTCATACACAGAAAAGCATGTACAAATATATATTTTAAAGCCAGTATTTCAAAGAAAAATGAGCAGAGGCAATACATACTAGTAAATATTTAAAACTTCACTTTCTCCATGCTTTATTTCATGAAACCTGCTTTCTCGTGGTTCTGAGAAAGATGATGGATATTAGTAGCTGACATGTGGAGAAATGAAGAGATGGGATGTTTCCCTGTTTTCTAGGAGAAGACAATGAAGTACAAATAGAAATACTAGTGAAAATGCATTATCTTTTGGTTTCTAGCACCGGCATAGAAAACAATGAATGATAAGTCTGTTGCACTGGGGAGAAGGGAGAGAGGCTGGTACACACTTGCATCACTGCTAGAGGGAGGGGAATTTGGGGGCCATGGCCCATTGATAATATGTTTCTCAGGTGACCAAGAATTGTGGAAAGGTCTTTCTTTTCTTTCTTTCTTTCTTTCTTTCTTTCTTTCTTTCTTTCTTTCTTTCTTTCTTCCTTCCTTCCTTCCTTCCTTCCTTCCTTCCTTCCTTCCTTCCTTCCTTCCTTCCTTTCTCTCTCTCTCTCTCTCTTTCTCTCTTTCTCTCTCTTTCTCTCTTTTTTTCCGTCCAGCCATCAGCTCTTTATTGACCTTAGAGAGATGTATTTGTAGCCAAGTGAAAAAGGAAAACATTGTTCTGGTTGTGTGCAATTTGGTGTGAGAGTGAACATTGCTCTCAGTGTGGGATAAGAGTGGAATTGGGAGCAGAGGCTTGAAGGGGCAGAGTCAGCTTTCCCTACATATGCAGGCTTCCCACCAGCTCATCTTAGTTTCATAAATGGGGTAGGGGGAGAGCTGATGTTGGGATCTGGGAGTGAGAGGTGAGAATCCTTTAACAGAGTCCTGAATCCGTAAAAAGTAAGAACTTTGACCTACCAACCAGCACTAAATGTTCACCAACCATTCTCTATTTGATTGTTTGCTGTCTGTAGGGGGCGGCACAACTCAAGGAAAAGGAAGAAGAAGAAGATCAAGGGATTTTTTTTTTTTTTTTTTTTTTTTTTTTTAGTAGAAACTGGTTTCTTCAAAGAAATGTAGGACCTGAATTGGTCACAAGGGGGTGGTAGAGGCAAGCACAAAATCAGTACCCGCTTATCCACTCCTGTCTTTAGAAAAGCCTTAGTTAATGCTAATTAAATTTTTTTTTTTTTTTGGGGGGGGCTTCAATATCTTTGGGGCACAAATGAGGGGTGGAACAGAAAAGTGAGGCTTTAAGGGAAGAGATACACGTCAAGAGAATGAGTAGGGGCAGGGGAATTGAAAAGATGGGCATTTGTGGGGCCAAGGAGGGGTAGTGAAAGTGGCTGGAAGTGTGCCTGAGATAAATGGGAGATATTTGGAGAGAGTGGAAGGGAGGGAAGGAGGGAGGAAGGGAGAGAGAGAGAGAGAGAGAGAGAGAGAGAGAGAGAGATCAATTGATTGCTTCCTACATGTGCCCCAACCCGGCCTAAGATCAAGCCTGCAACCAAAGTACAGTATGTACCCTTGACCGGAATCAAACAAAAGATCCTTCAGTCTGAAGGCAAATGCTCTATTCACTTAGCCAAACCAGCCAGGGCATAAATGGGAGATATTTGAAAACTAGAGTTCTCACTCTAAAGAGAGGGGACATATGTACTTCTCCTAATCTCCATTCTCTGTTATCTGTCTACCAGTAGACATAGTTCTAGGCAAGGAAGAAAGGAAAGTGCTCCACACAGTGCGATATCCAGGAGGCATGTCTGAGTCAGAATATAGGGCCTAGAAGCAAATGAGCTTCTCCCTCTCCCAGACTTTTTTCTCCTCCCCTCTCACTTTGGTGAAGGGAAAAATCAAATGTTATACTCCTGAGAAAACAATAAGGTAGGAAAAAAGCAGACTAAAAACATTTTTAAATTAAGACCCTAAACAAAAAAAGAGAGATACTGATACCCTTGTAACCTGAGTTTTGACATGTGTATCTGTGGAGACTCAGATCAAAGCTTTATATGTTTGCATTGTCCCTAGTTCCATGTTGGATCGCAGATAGTGCAGTTTGTGTACAGGAAAAGATGGTTCAAATATCTCCTTACTAGAATATCACAACTAGATGGCTGATTCAAGTGTAGGAACATTCTTTGACTTGTCATAGATGTGGGATATACACAAATTAGTTATTTTGTGAAAGCACGTCTGGAGGTCAGGGCTAGAAGTTGCTGGTGTTCACCCGCTAATCATGAGAGGGTACAGCCAGACGAAGAAAACAAACAAACAAACAACACAGAAAAATAGAGAGGTTCAGACAGGGTTGAGTATAGGTAAGAGCTCTGGACCTTAGTCAAAGATACAGGAAAAGGCAAGTCCTGGCAATGAGGCGGAAATCAACGGCGGGCAGTAAGAACTCAAGGCTTCCCCAAAGGAACATGGCCTCAATAAAGGAGAATCACCATTTGCCTAATGGAAATGATAACATTTTTTGTGAAGCATAAGCCATTTAAAATTTTCAGTTGTGCTCTTGGCCTCTCCAAGGGTCCTTTCATTCAGGGAAAAATGTTTGCTCAGCCCGAGGATGCTGGTTTTTCATTTAGCCACAATATCAATAGTCATTTGTCCAGCCTCTCCATTGTTGGAAACACGATCCCCACTCCCGACCCCACTGTGAAGCAGGCTTTATGTGCCCTGGATCACGAGAGTGCCAGTGTGGAAAATCAGGGCCAGATTAAGATGTCCATCAGTGAAGTGTGTCGGGAAACTGTGTCACATTGCTGCAACTCATTTCTGCAGCAGGCCGGATTAAATTTGTTAATAAGCATGACAGTTATTAATAACATGCTTGCCAAATCCGTTTCAGACCCGAGGTTTCCTTTGATATCAGAGGGAAGTGGATGTGCTGAGGTTCATGTTTTGAAACAGTTGATGGGTTTGTCTGAAAAACCAGTCTTGGCAGGGGAATTGCTGGGTCCCCAAATGCTGCTCTCATTCATGTCCCTCTTTATCAGGAACGGAAACGGACAGGTTCTCCCGGACACCCTGGCCTCTTAAAAGACCATCCCAAACAGAATGGGACCAAATCTACCCAAAACCCGTTTGGGGAGCACGCACTTGTGTTCTCATTCAAAGACTCTGCAGAGGGTGCTATAGAAGACCCAGCCTTAGCCATCACCACGTCATGGGGTGAAAGTCACACTTGCTAAATCGAGGACCACGTTACTATTGGCGGGGCGGGGGTTCCCACTGAGCTCTGAGTAACTTCTGGTTGTGCAGTCTACAGGTAATGTGCATTGTAAATTACTTCCTTCCTTCTTCCTGTGGTAAAGGGCTCATTGCAGCTGCCAGCTGTGGACAAAGCATCAGGAAGGATGCTTGCCTTTGGTGGTCTCCCTGTCTAAGCTGGACTGTCTTGTGGAGACCAGACACATATCGGAGCTTGTGCTGAAAATGCTGTTGTTGCTGCATATGTCGAATTCTTTTTCGTTTACTCTTTCTTCTACACCAGCCGATGGATGGTGAGCCCATTCATCAGAAAAGTGCACTCCCTTTCCATGTTCTGTGCTGACTTAACCTCATCCACCCAAGTCTACATTTGTGTGTTTCATCAATAAACTTGTGTGCTTTGACTGGCGAAAATGAGACATGGTACTTGTCCTTGAGTTGACAGTGTGAATGAGGAGAAAGACAAAACTGCAGGATAAATGCTAACTGGGTCAGGGAGGAGGGAAGGGAGGCATTTGCTCTGACAAATGCACTCTTATCAGTGCTCACAGGAGGCAGGGGTAGAGATGGGCGGCAGTGTTCAGGAAAACCTCAGCAAGGGGTTGGGGGCTGAGGGAAGGTGAGGGCATGGAGGGGGTTTGGTGGAATTAGGATAAAATGTTGGGAGGACTGAAAGAGATAACACCTGTGAAGCAGGCAGCACAGTGCCTGGCACCTGGCACCTGGCACCAAATAATCCCTTGATGAAGGTGTCTTTCCTTGACTGCCAGCCTAGAGAGGAATGTCGGTATCCTTGGGTTTGTCTACACATCCTTGGGGGCCACTGGGCCACCCATCCCTGCACATTTAATGGACGATTGCAGCAATAATGGTTTCCACTTGCTGAGTGTCTACTTTGTGTCATTCTCTTCTGGGAAGCTGCTGTTAAACCTACTTCCAGAACCCCTCATTTCCTTGGGGTCCCAAGACCAAATTCCTGGCAGAGTGAGAAGAGTTGGCTGCCCCTGCTTCTCTTGGTGGAACTACCTTTCTGCACCATCCCTGGAACCTTCGGTGGGATCCAGGAAGAGGAGAGTGGAGTTCTCCACCAACTTCCTGTGGGGGTCATAAGGCAGACGCTGGGGGTGCTTGGAATGGCTGTGGCTATTCCACTGATCAAGAGACACATCCTCCCCTCCATCCAAGCTCCCAATACCCCTTAGAGCAGCAGTTCTCAGCCTGTGGGTCGCGACCCCTTTGGCGGTCGAACGACCCTTTCACAGGGGTCAACTAAGACCACCATGCATTTCAAATATTTACATTATGATTCATAACAGGAGCAACATTACAGTTATGAAGTAGCAACGAAAATAATTTTATGGTTGGGTCACAACATGAGTGAGGAACTGTATTTAAAGGGCCAGAAGGTTGAGAACCACTGCCTTAGAGGAAAGGAAGAGCCCAGCTCTAACCACTGAACCACTTCATTGAAATGGGCAACTCGTTTCCAGACCCACGTCAATGGGCCTTAGACCCTGTGTCTCCAAAGCCGGGTTCCCTGCGTGTTTTGGATGTGTCAGGCAATGGCCCTGTTCCTCAAAGCTCTGGCCAGGTCAGTGGACAAGAAGCTTCCCTTGGGCAGTAATGCTTCTGTGCCCGTTGCCCTCTGCTGGTCTCTTGGGATGCTGCTCTGGGTCACTGTGCCCCAGGCATCAGTGCTCTCTAAGTGTTCTGCCTCCTGATTATGCTCCACAGGGAGTGTAGTTTTATTTTAGTTTTTCTCCCTTTTCCCAGAGTTTGGTTTGCAGGTGGGTTACAGCTCTCCTGCCTGTTCCCATTGCCCTATGCTTCAGGCTGTCTAGTGGGCATTGGTGCTTGCCAGGTCCCCGGGGCCATCTCAGGGATCCTCCACACAAGAATGGGGATGCGACCTCTTCCCAGGTCTTGGGACCTTGGACGGCTGGCACATGATTCGAGGTTGCAGTGACACCACACGCCCAATAAGGATCAGCGCCCTGGGGCTTTTTTGCTGGCTCTGGAGCCCTGTCTTGTTTCCTAAGAGCTGGTAATGCGACCATCTTTTTCTCCCAAGCAAGCCTCGGGTGGCCTGGACAATCTGTTTTCCAATCTTGAGGGTTGCCCTGCAGACAGTCCCTGCATCCACCTGTCCCCGTGGTGCAGTCAGCATGGCCCATGCTGTCTTCAGTGACACCCTACGGCTCGGCCTCTTTAACCTCAGCACAAAGGCAGAGGGGTTTCTCCTTCCTCCTGGCTCAGGATCCCAAATTAACACACGCCTCCCTGCTTCTCTGCACTCTGCTGAATTCCCCTTGTGTTATGCATCAAGACGTTTCCCCCCAGGCCTGAGGAAGGCACTTGGTGCTTGCAGGCCACAGCTGACTCCCAACACAGGGAGGGCCTCGGAGACTTTCTGCCCATCTCTGTCACAGGGGAGCCTGCCTGCATTGAAGTGTCTCCATGGTGTGGCCTTGGCCCAGTCAAGAGCCTCCTCTCCACTTGCTGGCACTGCCCTTCCAAAGATTCTCCCTGTGTCTGGAAGCTCAGCCCTCTGGTATGCCCTTCATCCCTTGGTGGGTTGCTGTGCCAGGGCAGGAGCCCAGTTCCCAGTGGATTCTGCCTGCGGACATGGAGGGGAGTCCAGAGCAGGCCTGCCAGTCATGGTCCAATTAAGATATTCAGATACTAGCCCAGCCTGTGTTGCTCAGTGGTTGATCATCGACCTATGAACCAGGAGGTCACGGTTCGATTTCTGGTCAGGGCACATGGCTGGGTAGCGGGTTCCATCCCCAGTGTGGGGTATGCGGGAGCCAGCCGGTCAGTGATTCTCTCTCATCATTGATGTTTCTCTCTCTCTCTCTCTCTCTCTCTCTCTCTCTCTCTCTCTCTCTCTCTCCCTTCCTCTAGGAAATCAATAAAAATATATTTTTCAAAAAAGATATTCAGAGGCCGTCAGCACTGGAAAGACTCTGGCGCCCCCTCCCATACTGAATTAAAAATGAAACAGTAAGAGACCTCCAAGCACAAAACTTACCTACCTTCCCTGCTGCAACTAACAGGGATTCTTTCTGGGTTTCCCAATGGTAAACATTTGACATGGTCATCAAAGTTTGAGCTTGTCACACTCTGTGGGGAGGTGTCCTGCCCTAATGGGGCTGCCCCAGCCTAAGCTGTCTCTTGTGTAAATATGGAGCTGCTGCCACAGCCTGGCTGCCTTCTAGTCCCAGAAAGGGCCTTGGCTTTTCTTCTTATTCATCTCATCATTACATCTACATTTGGTGCTGTAGATACCACATTAACTCTCAGTGCCCTCCCAGCCTGCTGCCTCTCCTGGGGAATCTGTGGTTTTACAACCTGCATTTCTCTCCCTCCTCACCGCCCCCGCCCCCCGACACACACACCATAAGTGCAGGCAAGGTTGCAGACATCCAGCTTCCCAGCTCAAGTATCATCCAGCTTCCCAGCTCAAATATCCAGTCCCAAACTCTGCATCCTCACCGTGGCCCTATGTGCCACTCTGAAAGTAGTTTCAACCACAATTCTCTCACTTTGAAGTGCCACCCACAGTCAGGCACAGCACTCACCAAGTCAATCTCCAAGCTGCCATAGCACCATTTGTCTAAGAGTGACAGCTGGGTGGAGGACTGGCTCCCTGCTCCCTTCTAGGGGCCACTGATTGGTATGGGATCCAGGTGGGTGCCACTCCAGAGTCCAGCACAGCCTTGCAGAGGATTGGCCAAGCCCGTGTCTGCTACACATGCTGCGTGCAGCACCTCACACTCTGTGGCAGGTAGTGATCCAACTTTACTCCTTTTTCTAAATGGATAACCAGTTAACCCAGCATCATTTATCACTCCACCCTCATGCTGCAGAGTAGCACAGTCTGGGATCCTCATGCACCCAGCTGAGCATCCCTTCTGTGGCCTCCTGGTGTTCAAGTCCCTCCTGAGGCACACCCCTTTCTCCCAGGAACCTCTAACTTAGGAACCTCAGATCCCTGGGTGACCAGAAGGTGTGTGTGTTGCTGGGGAGGAGTGTGTTGGTGCTTGTGAGTAGGCTTCTGTCCCAAGTTCCTTCTCAGGACATACTCTGGCCCACAGGAAGCTTGGGAACCCTCACCCTGCCTATTTCTCACCATTGGAAACTGGGGACTGGTTTCTTCCCTCGCCAGAATTACTTTATTTGTGTGAGAGAAAAGGAAGGTTTTTTTTTTTTTTTTTTATGTATAGACTTGCCAGCCATATGGTATCCATTAACCACATTTGAAATATGGCTATTTTCAGGCAGTGGTTTCTCTCAACTCTTCCCTTGAATTTTTTAGTGACATATTTGATCAATCTAGAATTTTACATTTTCTGTGTTGTGGCAATTATTGTAAATAATACATATATATATATATATAATACATATATACATATATATATATATATATACTAAGAAAAGAGAAACATGGTATTTGGCGTACGACCGCTACCCTTCCTATTGGCTAATCAGGGCACTATGCAAATTAACTGTCAGCCAAGCTGGCGGCCGGCAGCCAGGCAGCTTGAAACTAACATGAGGCTTGCTTGCTTCAGTGACGGAGGACTCCAACGTTCCCCGCCTGCCTTGCCGGCCTCTGAGCCTGCAGTTTCAAACATTGTAACAAATATAGACGCTAAACAAAACCCCAGAAACCAGCTTTCAGCCGGCTGGGATCTCAGAGCTGGAGTTGATACAGAGTTTCGAGAACTGAAACAAACCAGATACCTGCTTTCAGGAGCGGAGGCCTAAGAGCTGGAGCCTCAGAGCTAAAGCTGGCCCAGAATAAAAAAAGAAAAACGAAAAAAAGGAGCAGTTGGGAGCTTCAGTCCCAGCCTGAAAACAGCCCTCAGCCCCTTACCCAGACTGGCCAGGCACCCCAGTGGGGACCCCCACCCTGAAGGGTGTGTGACCAGCTGCAAACAGCCATCATCCCCTGATCGAGGCTGGCCAGGCACGCCAGTGGGGACCCCCAACCTGATCCAGGACACCCTTCAGGGCAAACCAGCCGGCCCCCACCCATGCACCAGGCCTCTATTCTACATAGTAAAAGGGTAACATGACTCCCAGCACCGGGATCAGCGGAGCTGAGAGGCCTCCTGGCACCAGGATCAGTGTGACAGGGGGCAGCGCCCAAACCCCCCTGATTGCCCTGTGGCTCTGTGTGTGACAGGGGGCAGGGCCCCAACCCCCTGATCCGCCCTGCTCTGTGTGTGACAGGGGGCGGTGCCCCAACTCCCCTATTGGCCCTACTCTGTGCGTGACAGGGGGGAGCTCCCCAACCCCCTGATCGGCCCTGCTCTGTGCATGACAGGGGGTGGTGCCACAACCTCCCCATCGACTCTGCCTTGAGTGTGACAGGGGGCGGTGCCCCAACCCCCCAATC